TCAGTGGTTAAAGTGCTTGGCTGCTAGCTGAAAGATCGACAGTTCAAACCTACCAGCCACACTGCAAGGAGAAAGATGTGGCTGTCTGTTTCCCTGTTTCCGTAAAGATTTATAGTCTTGGAAACCCTATAGGGTTGCTATGAGTTGGTTTCTTCTCAACAGCACTGGGTTAGTTGGGTTTGCCAAACCACTGAGAATCATAGCCTAGGCAAGATGACACCTAACATTAGCCATCACATATGTCAACATGTGATCAATAATTTAAAAATTACTAATGAGATATTTTACATTTTTTTTCCATACTAAGTCTTTGAAAGCTGTTGCATATTTTATACTCAAAGCACATCTCAATTCAGACTAGCCACATTTCGCGGGCTTAATAGTCTCAAGTGGCCAGTGGCTACGGTTTTGGACAGTGCAGATCTAGCCTGTTCTAAAAATGGAGCTGACATGATTGGTTATCCAGATAGATAAGAATAAAATTGTATTCCTGCTTCACATAAAAGTAAATTCAAGTGTATTAAAATCTAAATGTGATAGGCCAAATAGTGAAGTGTTATCGTAGGATTCGGAAATACGCTGTCTGTGCTCCACCACTTACCAGCTGGGTAACTATGGCTAGTTATTTACCTCTCTGTGCTCAGTTTCTTTATCTGTAAAATGGAGATAATAATAATACCTACCTCATAAGGTAGTTAAGAGAATTAAAAGTGTTTGTAAAGACCACCATCACACCTCAGGAAAGAAAAAAAAATTAAGTTCTTAATATTGTCAAATATCCATTCAGGATTCATGTTTCCCTAACTGACTCAAGGGTGTTTTTGTTTGTTTTGTTTTTTTAATTCAAATAGGAGCAAATCAACTCCATATATTGTGATCGGTTGCTATGTCTCTGAAGTCTCTTTTAATCTGTAGGTTGCCTTCCCTCTTATTTTTTTTTTTTTTTAATTCCTTGCAGTTTACCTTTTAAGAAACTGGGTCATTTATCCTGTAGAGTTTCCCATGGTGTCCTTATCATGGTCCTCTGTCTCCTGTACTTCTTGTAAATTATTAAGAGCTACTTGATCAGGTTCAAGTTCAAATTTTTTTTGGCAAGAATACTTTATACGTACTAGGAAGAATTTCTTAACTAAGACCGACAAGCAAAAATTATAAAGAAAAAAACTGATATTCCATACTTTAGTTAAAAACTTTGATATAACTGAAAACAGGTTAAAAGTTACAAGACAAGCCACAGATTGGGAGGTTATTTGCAATGTATTTAACTGTGAAAGAATTAGTATCCAAAAAAAGTAAAAAAAGAACTCCTATAAATCAAGAACGAAAAAACAACCCAATGGAAGAAAAATGTACCAAGTTCATGAAGAGACAGTGGATTCCTTTATATAATAAATGGTTGTGTAGCTCTTACAGTGCCAGGCATCATTTTAAACACCTAACAGATTTCAGCTTATTTATTGTCATAACAGCCCTGTGGTGTAGGTGCTGTCATTATCCCCATAATGACACTATCCCCGTTGTACATGTGAGAAAACTGAGGCAAAGTCAAGGTCACACAGCTGGTAAGTAGCAGAGTCAGGGCTCACACCCAGGCAGAGGCCCGAGAGTCCATGCTCAAACCATGTGTTGCACTGCAGTTCTCTGAAGAGGGAATTAATATAAGCAGCCAGCAAAGATGCTTAGCTTGACCATGAATCAGAGAATTTCAAAGTAAAACAATATCCCATTTTTGCTCATCAAGTTGGCAAACATGTAAAAGATTACCAATATCTCGTGTGAGGCAGCTTTGGAGAGATAACTGCTCCTTTGTTCTTAAAGCACGTATAGATCGGCAGCGCCTTCCTGAAGGACAGCTTGGCAGTATCTACCTGGGAGCCTAGAGAAGTGCCTGCACTCATGCGTAAGGAAGCAAGGAAGCACATGAGAGTGAACATTGGGAGACCATCTGAGTTGATTTGTAGCAAATTTCTGATACGAAATTTTATCTGTGAGTGTGTGTTTCTAAAAGAGCGAGGGAGGCTGCCGGGAGGCTGCCAGGAGTGTGGAGTCCTGGCTGATGTTCCAGTCTGGCCTGCCAGGGACTCCCCCAGTGGCCTGCCCTGTGTGTGGGCCTCTGCCCAGGACTCCCAGAACTTCCTCCTCACCTTTTCCGGGCCCTCTTCCAGCAGACTCCATGCTTTTCTAGCCTGGACGCTGGAGGCTGGGCACTTAGCAGGACAGCCCACTCCTAAAGCTCTTCCTGCCCCGTCAGAAGCTGTACCCCAACCTCCAAAGTGCATCTGGGACTAGAAGTGACAGGTAGCAGCAATGTGCAGCTCTTCTGTTTAACATGGAAATAAAAGGCCTCCCGGGGTGGTGCAAAGGGTTAACGTACTTGGCTGCTAACTGAAAGGTTGGAAGTTTGAGTCCACCCAAAGGCACCTCAGAAGAAAGGCCTGGTGAACTACTTCCAGAAGAATCTGCCATTGAAAACCCTGTGGAGCACAGTTCTGCTCTGACCCACATGGAGTCACCATGAGTCAGAATTTACTTGATGGCAACTGTTTGGCCCACACCTGGAGCAGTACTGCTCTAAGACAGTACAAAGTGAAAATACATTGCAGAAGAATATACTATGATCTCATACATGTTTACAAAATGAAAGGTAGAATAGCCAAAGACATAGAGGCTAAAATCAGTGGGAGGATATTTAAGGAGAAACAAAAAATATTCCACAAGATGGGTATTAATTAGAGAAAATGGTGACTTTAACAGCAGAGGAACCTGGCAGATACTACCTTGCCCCAGTAATGAGACAGATACACAGCACATGCCTCTGGATACGATGCCCTGAAACGGGACAACGGTACTTCTCTAAGATTTTTGCCAAATCTAATCATGAGAAATCATCAGACAAAGCCAGACCGAAGGGCATTCTACAGAGTAACTGACCAGTACTTCAGTAATGTCAAGTTCGTGAAAGCCAAGGAAAGATGGAGGAACTGTCGCAGGTCAGAGGAGATTAAGGAGACATGATCACTAAGTGCAGTGTGGGGTCCTGAATTGAATCCTGGAATAGAAAAAGGACATGGTGGAAAAGGTAGTGAAATTCAAATCAGGTCTATAGTTTAGTTAATAGTATTGCACCAATGTTACTTTCCTGGTTTGATAATTGAACTATGGTTATGTGAGATATCAACATTAGGGGCAGCTGGATGAAGGGTATACAGGGAATTCTGTACTATTTTTGCCATATTTATGTAAGTCTAAAATTATTTTAAGATTTAAAAAATTATGTATGAAACATATAAAATCTGGATCAGGCCATGCCAATGGTATTGATCTCATTGTACAAATAAGAAAACTGGGAACAGAAAAGGTTACATGACCTGCTCTAAACCACACAATTGGTATCAGGAGTCTGGAATTTATTCCGGAGCCCCACACTCCCTGAGCACCCAACACTGCCAGCTCCCTGTTTCCTGTGGCCAGCAGCTGGACTGGGCCTGAAGTTGGAATAGGGTCCCACTGGGAGTCTTCCAGATCCAGAATGCTTTGGCTGTTTAGGAAACAATTAGATGCCAAAAGAAAAAGGTTAGAATTTTAAAGTATTCCTTAAGTGGGAAAAATAAATTGTTGGTGTCAGATTGGTCCTTTCCTATCCTAGGTCATGCCATCAAAGTTAAATACTAATGACAAATACTGAGTTGGCCATATGGGGGCAGAGTGCAGGGCCACAGCCCTTGCCCCAGAAAACCAAAATCCATTGCTGTCGAGTCAAGTTGATTCTGGCTCATAGCAACCCTTTAGGATAGAGTAGAACTGCCCCATAGGATTTCCAAGGCTATAATTTTTATGGAAGCAGACTGCCACATCTTTCTCCCACAGAGCAGCTGGTGGGTCCAAATTGACCCAAAGTCATTTTTTTAACAGCTTTATTGAGATATTCACATATCATACAATTCACCTATTTAAAGCGTACAGTTCAATTTTAGTATATCCACAGAGTTGTGCAACCATCACCACGATCAATTTTAGAACATTTATATTACCCCAAAAAGAAACCATGTACCCATTAGCAGTCACTGCCCATTCTCTCCTCACCCCAGTCCTAGGTTACCACTAATCTACTTTCTGTCTTTATAGATTTTCCTATTCTAGATGTTTCATATAAATGGAGTCATATAATACGTGGTCTTTTGTGTCTGGCCTCTTTGCATAAATGTTTTCAAGGTTCATCCATGTTGTAGCAGGTATCAATCCTTCATTTCTTTGTATTGCCTAATAATATTCTGTTATTTAGATATGCCACATTTTGTTTATCCGTTCGTCAGTTAATGGACATTTGAGTTGTTTCTACTTTTTGGATATTATGAATAATACTCCTGTGAACATTTGTGTACAAGTTTTTGTGTGGATATAAGTTTTCATTTCTCTTGGGTTTATACCTAAGAGTGGAATTGCTGGGTCAAATGGTAACTCTATATTTAGCCTTTTGAGGAACTGCCATAGTTTTCCAAAGCGGCTGCACCATTTTACTTTCCACCAGCAGTGTACGAGGGTTCCAGTTTTTCTGCATCCTTGTCAACACTTGTTATTGTCTATCTTTTTTATTGTAGCTATCGTGGATGTGAAGTAGTATGTCATTGTGGTTTTGGTTTGCATTTCCTTGATGGCTAATGATGTTGAGCATCTCAGAGTCATTCTTAACATCCATTGCCCCTGGGCCAAGGATCCCTTCTGAAATTTCCCAAATGTGTTCAGCACTGGTGTCCCTTTCCTCCCCCCATGTGAGATCACTGTCCCTAAAAACTTAAAAGTATGGCTGCCATCTCAAAAGCTTTGAGGAATGCGTAGGCATTGGGTCCTTGGGGTTCCGGAGCCACATTCCTTTTCAACAGCCCTGAACCAAGCAAGGTGTGGGAGACTGGTTAGTCAGTGTGTCCCTGTGACAGCGATCTGTTCTTCCAAAAGAACCCAGCAGCTTTAGCGTGACACCTTGTTCCTCTTACTCTCCCCAGCAGGTCCAGATGGTTCCTGTGACTCTAGCTTCAGTAGCAGCATCAGTGTCTTCACTCCAGCCAGGTAAGTGGTTTGTTCCAGCCAGAGGTGTTTGTGGAAAATGAGTGGCCTACATCTTTCCTGGGCACAGGAGACTGCAGCCAAGACCCAGGGCAAACTTTGCTCAGGGCCACTGCTTCTGGGGCATCCTGGTACCCACAGGAACTGCTTGCTGAGGGAGCCTGAAGGACACTAAGTGAGCCCAGCCTGTCAAGTTCTGATGGACAGGTAGCCTTTTGGGAGGGAGTAGAAGCCATTGGAGGTCAGTGAATGCAGGTTGTAAAAATATAACAGGTGCCTGGTGTCTGCGATGCAGCATTTGCAGATACCTTCACTCACACCTTTTCCTTGTCATGGATAACATGGGCTGACAAGACGCCAGCTCCAGGAGAAGGCTGTTTGAGGACCATCTAGAGGCAGGCAGTAATTAATTGGATCAGGGAGTGCAGATGGACAGTCCTCTCCTGCCGATCTGGTTTAGCTGTAGTAGTGCAGCCTTCCACGTGGGGGCAGTGCAGGCCAGACAGCGAAGCCATCCCCTTCATTCCAGCTCCGTTCAGACTCACTGCATGGCCATGTGATTCCCCAGGAGGGATGTCACAGTTCTGCCCCTGTCTGAGTCCTCTGGGCTTGCCCCATGTCACGTTTCCTTCGGGTGGAATTGGCATCTGTGGGGCTGGAATGGATGGCAGTATTCCTACGGAGCTTTTCTTCCCTCAGAGCACGACCCTCAGCTGGGGCCCTGGGGAGTCAGTCACTTAGGAAAAAGAAACGTACACTCAACCCCAGAAAGTCCTTTTCCTCCTCTGATAACATTTTTAAATTTATCTTTAAGGATCCTGTGTATGTTTTTCAAAGTCTGCAAGTCCTAGTTATAAATATGTACTACTTCTGGGATCTGTTGTGTACCACTGTTGTGAGTCAGTTCCGACTCATAGTGACCCTATAGGACAAAGTAGAACTGCCCCAAAGGGTTTCCGAGTCTGTAATCTTTACAGGAGCAGAGCACCAGATCTTTTCTTCCATGAAGCTACTGGTGGCTTTGAACTGCCAACCTTTTGGTTAACAGCTAAATGCTTTAACCATTGTGTCACCAGGAACCTACCTCTCACAAATTGTCCAAGCAAGTCAGTCAACGTTATTTATTCATTTGTTTGTTTTCAGTTAGCTGTCACACATTTGTAGAGCACGAGGTGGGGTGGGGACGCGGGAGGCCTCCGTTCCTGTACTAACACCAGAAACTACCTGATTGGAACTAATGTTTTGGTTTATACCTATCATTCGGGAGCCAATGCCAGATCCTCCTCTTTTAAAATTAAAAAAAAAAAAAAAATTGTCCAGTGCTTTCTTTTCCTTAGTGAATGGATGTTTCCTCATCACGGCTGCAAAGTCTGAGTCTCACTAGCTGTGTGCTGAGGAGGGCTGCCTTTGTAGATGAAACCAGAGCCAGGGTGCCTGGGCCCCGGGTTGTGGGGTGTGGGCTGCTGGCCCCACAGGCAGGAAGGAATCCTCCACCCACTGGAGCAGCTGAAAGACAGGGTGGAGGTGTCTGCTTCCTCCAGTTTCACTGAGGTGCGGTTGGTGCTGCCAGAGGGAGGCTGATCATGGACAAGATGTCATCTTGCAGGGTCACCAAAAAACAAAACCCACCCTGCAATGTTCTAAATGCATTGCTTGCCTGAGGCACCGCCCTCAGGGCTGTGGCTGGATTGGGGAGCTCCTCTGGGGCAGAAGGACATGCCTACCTGGCAGACAGCTGCGGGCAATGGTGGCCCTGAGAGTGGGCACTGACCCTTAGAGATCCTGCTAAAAGCTGTGGACCCTGTTCCCGGAAAAATGCACATACACACAGTATTCTGAATATTCTTTCAGGGTCTCAAGGATCTCCTTGAAGCTCATTTTTGTACCTTAGATTTAAAAAAAAAAAAAAAATTGTCACTTGGGCCAAAACTGAGGGAGAATAACTGTCTAAACTCAGGAGTACAAGCCTCTTCCGCTCCCTTCATCTTCCTTCTTGCCCAGGATACTGGGAGAGCCCCAAATGGCCCAGGTTAGCAGTAGCCACAGGGGAGAACCCCTGAAAAGCAGGGGGGACAAGATCACTAAGTCTGGGTTGACACCTGAGGTGGGGTTCCAGGTAGAGGAGTCTGGGTTTCTCCACAGCTGGCATTACACCCTCCACTGCTGGCAGGAGCAAGGGAAATACACAGGAAATTGAGAACTGGACTCCCTGGGAAGGGGTGGAAAGAGAAAGAACTGGCATGGAGAGAGCAGACTGGCAGCCAAGGAAAGGTTTAAGAAACAATAGTCTCCACCACCGTCTCTCAGACAGTGCTCACATGCACCAGGCGAGTTCCCCATCACTCAGGAGTCTTCTCAGTCGTGGGGCCTGGCAGCCTTGGGCAGGGAGCTTCACCTTCACTGCCTCCGTTTCCTCATCTGTAAACCAGGTATAGTAATAGAACCAACCTCGTAGGGGTGTGGAGCTTTAACGAATTACTGTATATAAAGAGCATAGAACAGTGCTTGGTACACAGAAAGTACTTTTCACCTTTTAGCTGCTGTTATTACAAGAACCTTGTTATTGTCCTTATTTGTAAAATGGCCCAGAGAGGTGGACTTCTTACCCAGAGTCACTCAGCTCATTACTGACCAATCTGGGATTCAAGCTAGCTCTGTCTGACTCCATGTCCCATGCATTTAACCTTTATTATTCTTAGCTGGAGAGTTTCAGAAGTTTTGTGTCTCAACCTCTCTAACTCATCTAACTCAGGAGTCTTTCACTCTGGCAGAGGGTCACTGTGTCATTGGTGACATTCAGTACAGTTCTCCCTATACGTGGGGCAAGCAGAAAGATCTACAAATCATTGCTTCCCAACTTTTAGCATCTATTGATTGAAAAAACAGTAATGATCTTTTATTTAAAAAAACAACTTTGAATTTGGAAACATTTCTTTTTTAGATTTACTTTTGTTCTGATTTGATTAGAGAGAGAACGTATGAGTACCATAAAATAAAGTTTTTCATTGCAGAAATAAAGTGCTGTCTCCCAGAGAGCCACTAGAATTTATGATTGTTTATTGGTAGTATCAGGGCCCTGGTGACACAGCAGTTAAGCATTTGGCTGCTAACCAAAAGGTCGGCAGTTCGAATCCATCAGCTGCTCCTTGGAAACCCTATGGGGCAGTTCTGCTCTGTCGTATAGGGTAGCTATGGGTCGGAACGGACTCAACGGCAGCAGATTTTTTGGTAGTATCAGAAGCATTATTCAATCAGTCTGTACTTTAATAGCCACAGCAGCACCATACATTTGGAAATGGAAGTGCATATACGTGTAGCACTTCGTTAAGCAGTGCTCTATGAGACAATGCTTGGTAAAAGTGGAGTTTTAGAACCAATGCAGAAATGTATTTTAAACTGTGAGTGAGTTCCCTTCCATTCTCTGGGTGAGGTAAGCCAGAGTGGAGGGTGCCGTGGCTCAAGAGCTGATCACATCAGGCAGCGTGCCCTCTCTAGAAGGGCCAGCCTCCCAGAGTTCAACCCCCACCGCACAGCTCAGCCCTTAACATTCAGCAGCCACCCCACTAAGAACCTGAGAGCTGCCTCCTCAAGGGTGGTGGGAGCAGTGATCCTGCCCTTGCCCAGGCACCAAGATCAGCATCCCTGGTGCCCTGTGGTGCACTTGCTTGCCACGACCTTTATCTCCAGCCAGCCCAGGGGAGCTGGCCCTTGCTTTCTGCCCTCGATAGAGACACTAAGCTTGCAGAAGCATCTAACACTGCTATCAGCTGAGGAACTCAGGTTGCCAAGACGGCATCCAGCCTGCCTTCTTGGGCCCCCTTTGGGCTGCTTTGATTTGGAGCCTAACCCATACAGGTCAACAGCAAACCACTGGGTGTCTTCTCCTCACATGGAGACTCTCCAGGCCCTTCGACAAGAACATGCATTGCATAGCATGTATGCTAACCTCTTTCTTCCAACAACACATGGGGCTGCCAGGTCTTACCTGGCCAGAGAGTGCTTGGTTTGCTCAAGGGGCTGCCATTCTGCTGCCTCTTTCTGCAGGAGGTGGTTGGAAGTACATAGATTTTCCTGAGCTTGCCCCTCTGAGGAGTGCTGTGTGGTGGGGCAGGCCCTTATTCTGGAGTCAGATGTTCAGATTCAAAACTTCCAGCTCCACCACGTCCTAGCCGTGTCACCTTGGATAAGTCACTTAATGTCTCTGTGCCTCAATTCCATCATCTCCAAAATGGAAATAATAGCTTTACTTATCCTAGAGCGCTTTTGTGGAAATTAAATGAGGCTGTACAGGTGAAGAGCTCAGCACAGTACCCAGCACACAGTGTTTACCTAAGAAATGTTGCTCATTGTCATTTTCAGCACCATGGTCACCATTGTTGTTATTGGAGCCCCCGCCCCCTCGAGGGTCATACATACCACTGGGCCTGACCTGCCAGGTAGGGTAGAAGGTACTGGTCTGGTGCTGCCTTCCTCCCTACCAGCAGCTCCAAGGCAAGGGCGTTGCTAGGCCAGTGTGTCCTGAGTCCCCCATGTAGGTTAAAAAAAAAAAAAAGGCCTTCCTCCCAAGGGTGTCATTTCAGCTAAGAATATGGCAGTGACCTGCCAGGCAGAGGTCCTTGTAATGCACTGGGCCCTAGATGGCCACCTGGACACCCTGCTGCTCACTGCAGACCTTGGGACTCACCCCCCAGGAAAGAGCAGGAAGATTGGGGCGGGGGTGCTGCTCCATATACCCCCCACCTGCCTTGTGATCTGCTCTGTGCAAGGCCTTGCGCTGTGGGAGGTGTCTCTCTACCACCAAGATCCAGCTTATCCAGCCATAGGATCCTGCTGGCCCAAGGAGAAGGCCTGTAACAGAACACACTGCAAGGAGCCGGCAGGAAACCAGAGACAGAGAGGAACTTGAGATAAGACAGTAAATCCTGGCCATCTAGGAAATGTCAGAGATGAAAAAGAGAATGTTGAGGAAGCCCTGGGTTGATGCTGGCCTGACGCTCTAGAGCTGCGCTGGCCACTGCACACTTGAGTGGGGCGGGTCCAAACTGAGATGTGCTGTAAGTGTGAAATACACACTGGGTTTTGAACACTTGGTATACACAAGAAGTATAAACTACCTCATTAATAATTTTGTATTGATTACGTGTTGAAAATGTGGATGTATTGGGCTAACTAAAATGTTATTAGAATTAATTTCACCTGTTTCTTTTTACTTTTTAATGTGGCTACAGGAAAATTTAAAAATTGCACACGAGGTTTGCGTGATATTTCTGTTGGACAGTGAGCTCTAGAGAGAGAGTGACCGAGAGCCCATGTGTGCCACCTTGGTTATAATGTCTGTGCTTTAGTTTGCCCATCTGTCCGAGGCGACCAAAGAATATAGATGTTTTGATAACCTTAAACGGCACGAGGAACTTACTGCCATGTGACTCAGTGCTGTTGTGCTCTGTGTGGGGGAGGCTCCGTAGCAGCCCCGTGCAGAGGCTCAGCTCTGCTGGGCTATTGCTCACACGCCCAGGTTTTCTGGCCACCGGGGGAATAGAAGTGCCCACTCTCACCCCTGAAACGGGCACCATGGGGCTCATCAGACCATATTAAATAGCAATTCTGTCGGGCAATTAGAGAGCTCAGAATCGTGCCCTTTAGGAATTCACATCAAATGAGCTTCAGAGGGGCTGCAGGCGAATTAGGAGCGCGCAGCCACCGAGTTCCTGATGCAAATGAATAATTGAGCAGCCTGGAAATACCACGAAAGACTGTTTTTATGGGCGAGCAAGAACCGCCGGGTGGGTCTGCAGGGAAAACATCTCCTAGTCTGCACTGTCTCGTCAGCGTTAGGCAGATACAATAAAATGCGTTGGGAGGAAGGGAGTCTCCCCTGACATCCTGAGGCTTTCTGCCCACCCTTTCCCCACCCCTGAAGACCCCAGCCTCTACCTACAAACAGACTGCTAAGTTACAGTTTCCTGGCGGCACCAAACCTTCCCTGGGCAGTTCCGCAGGACTTTTTTCTGACTGAAGAGCAGCAGGGTTCAGTCCCGAGAAGCCTAGGGCCTGTGCCGCCACTGGAGCAAAAGCACATTTTGAACAATCTCAGCTTTGCTGTCAGTCAGAGGCTTTGCTGTCTCTTCCTCAACTCAGAGGAGTGTCACAATCTCAAATGCAACTATCAAGGTGCCTGTACCAGGCCAAAAACTACCAAGTGCTCTGGAGTTCTCAGAGGTGGAAAGTCACGAGCCCAGCCCTCACTCAGAAAATGTTCTTCAGTTGCCTAGTGAAGGGCCCTGTTGGAGGTTACGGGGTGTTATCAAACCCTTCCCCTGTACTTTGTGGGCATGGGATTTTTGCTTTATCAGTACACAGTTGCCGTGGAGTTGACTTCAACCTATGGTGACGCCCTGTGTGCCAGAGTAGAACTGTGCTGTATCGGGTTTTCAATGGCTGATTTTTCAGAAGTAGATCACCAGGCCTTTCTTCCAAACCACCTGTAGGTGGACTTACAGTTAGCAGCTCAACACGTTAACTGTTTGCACTACCCAAGGACTCCCTGTTCAAAACAGGGTCTGGAATTAGATTCCCTGAGGTTGCTTAAACGGTGTTTAGGCCTTGAGGCCTGGTGGGGACCAGTTCGATGACTTTGGAGAGGTTTTCTCCTGTCCAAGCCAGGCTAGTGCTGGGGGAGAAAAAGGGAAGTTGTTGGGAGCCTAGCAGACTGGCCCCTTTCCTCCCAGACTGTGGTGATAGCTCCGACCAAGCAAGAAACTCTAAGCTCCTTGGAATGGGAGGAGAAATGTGATGGTGGGGGAGCCAGCCCCCTCTTTGAACCCCTGGGCTGGGCTGGTGCAAGGTGTGTCCCTGAGACATGCAGGGGAATGTGCAGTCTGCTCACCCGTCACCGGTCTCCAGGTAGTCGGGGAAGGTGTGTGGTTTAAGTATTTGGGGTCTGGGAGGGTTCGGTGGCTTGGTGGAAGAGGGGCACGGTGGGCTTTAACTCACTTCTCCTTCCTGGACTTGCCCACAGCGCTGAAAGGGCCCCAGTGACTCTGCATCTCGACGGGATTGTGCAGGTCCTGAACTGCCACCTTAGTGACATGGTCATCGGGATGATGACCCGGATCGCCGTCCTGAAGTGGCTCTACCACCTCTACATCAAGACTCCCCGGAAGGTGAGCCCCCACCCATCTACCCAGTGAGTTCCTCCCAGCCCTGATGCTCCTCCAGGTCACCTGGGTTTAGACGGCCTGCCGCGTGCTTAGGTGGGGTTTGGGTCATTGCAGTTCTAGAGAAGACCTGGAGCAGACGAGTGACTGATACTGTGAGGACCACTTGATGTCAGGGGGAGGGAGGTGGACTGTGCAGATGAGGGTATACTGTCCATGCTGAGCTAGTCCTGGGTGAGGGTAGAGCTCACAGGTGGCCCACTTCTCTGCCTCCAGATGTTCCGGCACACAGACAGCCTCTTCCCCATCCTGCTGCAGACGTTATCGGACGAATCTGATGAGGTAGGGCACCGCCCCCTGCTTTCTTTGCATTGCACTGGCTGCTCAGCCTCCCTCCTTTTCAATGACTGGTGGGATCTTGGAGCTCAGAGGGGCTTGTTGTTCTCTTGAAGCAGCACCAGAACATTTGCCCTGTTCTTCAGACCTGGTAAGGAGCATCTTTTCTAGAGGAAAAGCTGTGTTTAAAACTCTTGGCTTTGGGAGTGAGGACTCTTGCTCTGTAGCCCCTTCTGAAAAGGGCCCTGGGACAGGCCTTGGTGAGAAAGCAGCCTGCACCAGGACTGTCCATGGACTTTGTGTCTTCACTGGAAGGCAGTGAAGAATGGTGGCTGAGAGCACAGGCCTCCACGTGAGGCTGCTGAGTCCAAAGTGTGGCTGAGCACCTGCTAGAACTTGAGCAGGTAACTTCTCTGCACCGTAGATTGCCCTCTACCTGTCCACCGGGCTGACAGCAGTACATCAAGCTGCGAGAATGAGTGACCCGTGGAAAATTGCTAAACGCCATGCTGGGCACATGGCGAGCCCTCCGTGAGCGTCAGTTGTTTTATTCAATTGAACTGGACTCCGTTTTGACCACTTGTTTGAAATTAGACCCTTAAACTTTTGCACCAAGAGCTGCTGGTGCAAAAGGGAGAGGCTTCCCCAGACCCCAGGCAGCAGGAATAGCCACTCTGAGAGGACCAGAATGGGGAGGCTGGCCCAGGAGGCAGAGCCTAGGCCCTGGGTCCTTCTGTTGTCTGGCAGAGGGCTGCTAGCTAGACACCATGCTCACCAGCATTTCTTTCTGTGGAGTTAGGGTAGGGTGGTTCTTTGTTGGGACTCCCCCGCCTCCCAGCCAAGTGGACAGGATTTACAACTGGGCGTTTCCTCCGTCTGTACTGGTTCCTCAGGCTGTGAGTTAGATGCTGAGGATCTGAGCCTCAACCTGCCCCGTGCTCACCCTCTGCTGGGTCGAGGCAATGGGCACATGGATCTGCAGACCTGCCCACACTGGCCAGTACAAGCATGAAAGTGGACAGGGCCAGGACGTGGGGGGAAAAGGAGAGGGATGTTGCTTACCATGTCCTATGCCTTGGTCTTCCTTGGGCTGGTACAGGCTTGTGTGGGGTTCCCAGGCAGCTGCCTTGCAGCCTGAGTTTGTTTTCCTGAACGTGAGCTGGACAGAGTAGATTCAGAAACAGACAGATAGGAGTTAGCCTCTAGATCCTCTAAGTAGAGATTCTGCATTTCCAGAAAAAATCCAAGACAGTCTGTGAATGTGCCCTTAACCCTTCCTGCCTGCCCATTCTCTCCTTGCCTTCCCTTACACACACACCCTCCCTCCTTTTCTCTTCCCACACCTCCCTCCCCCATAGTGCCAGGCCCAGGTGGATGTGGCCCACTTCTGCCCATGACTCATTGCTCAGTCACAGCCCTCATTTCAATACGAAAAGGAAGAGAAGAACTCAGCTGATTGGTTCCTTCCCAAGGACTTCACTGGAAGCCGCTGAGTTTTCAGTCCTTTAAATTGAGTTGTTTAATCGCATCCAGCTTCCTTTGCTGGAAATTGGTTTTGGTGTGCCTGTGCACTTAAAAGGAGCAGGAGATGCAGGCCACTGAGCAGCTCTGTTCAGGTTATGGCTGGGAAACTCAATTTGCTGAAGTGGCACATGTTGTCAGGTCATTGGGTGCATCTCATGGGCCTCTGCCAGGGAGAGAATTGAAGCCGCTTTGGGAACATGTTGAGGGGAGCTGTGAGAAGAGTGAAGAGCCCCTGCTTTCCCACCTCCAGGGAAGGGACTTAGGAACTTTGCTCATGGGGGTGAGTCCTGATTCTTCCCCAGAATCACATTCCTAAGTGTCACCTGCCCAATCTCTTTGGTGACCTTTAGGGCCTACTGCGACTCAGCAATGAGTTATAGCCATGAACCAGGAAAAGTCTCCTAGAGCTTTCTAGGATGTTCCTTCCATATCTGCTATGTTCAGAGTGTGCAGTCTCTGGGCAGTTAGAGCTGATCTCAAATTAGGCTCCCTGGGGCTCAAGTCTGTTTGTCTATTCAGTCAAGCAGAACCACACCCAGCCTGGTGGGGAGAGGCTCCTTTCTTGTTTGAGGGGTTCATGGGGAGCCTCCTTCACTAACCTGGCATCCAGCATAGGGGCCTTGGGCACAGGTTATCCCATTGTCTTGGATGATTTTTTATAACAGCTTACTTGCACAAAGTTCTTAGGTAGTCCCTGGGTGGCACAGTTTGCGCTTGGCTGCTCACCGGAAGGTTGGCATTTCAAATCCACCGAGCAGTGCCACAGAAGAAAGGCCTGGTGATCTACTACTATAAGAGTCCCACTGCTGTCAAGTTGATTTCTACTCATAGTGACCCTATGTGACAGGGTAGAACTGCCCCAAGGCTGTAATCTTTATGTAAGTAGACCACCACATCTTTCTCCCACAGAGTGGCTGGTGGATTTGGACCACTGACCTTTCAGTTAACAGTGGAGCTTTAACCATTGCACCACCAGGGCTCCCTTCCATAAAATTACAGCCATTGAAAACCCTATGGAGCAGTTCTACTCTAACACACACGGGGACACCATGAGTTGGAATCAACTTGATGGCAACTGGTTTGGGTCTTTTTATGAAGTCCTTACAGTTAGCTAGGAACTGTGCTGGACCCTTCACTTACGGTGTCTGCAGACCCTCACAACAACTCTGGGGAAGTATTCTTTTGTTACTCCCGTTTTACAGTTCAGAAAACTAAGGCCTAGGGAAGTTAAGTAACTTGCACACAACTAAGAAGTGGTGGAGCCCAAACTTAAAGCTAGAAATGTTTGACTCCAAGGCCCACCCTCTCAATTGCTTAATCACCGCACCATGATTTACCAAGTGTGGTCCCAGCCACCATGTCAGAACCAGCTGGGGAGGTGGGGAGCTTGTGGCTCGTTACAGCATCATCCCCATTTCCTCATGAGATTTCTAAATGAGGTTTTTCTAGCCTTTGTTTCACAATTCTTGAGAAGGATTCTCAATTAGGTGTGTATTTTGAAAAAAACTCTCCCTTCTGCCCCCATAATTTCTATCCATTTTTCTTATTGATTTGTAGAAGCTCTTTATGTTTGGGACATTAAATTTTGTCATGTGTGTCACAAGTGTTTTTCTCTCCCAGTAAGATGGCGATAAACTCTCATACTCCTCACCCTTGGTGAAAGCCACTGCCTTCGGGACAGATTGTGCCCAGGTGTTAATGATGCAAGAGCTTGGTGACCAAGCTCCCCCCCACCTCTGAGTTCAGCAGTCCCATTGGCACATGGCTCACTGGCGTGTCTTGCCTGCCACTGTTCCTCTGCCATCCACGCCCTCTGGCATTCTCCATTGTTTCTGCTTTTCCGTTGTTCAGGATAAGTGGCTGTTTCCTTGGTGCTGCCTGCTCCTTGTAGACTTCATCTGAAAATCCCTTTTGTTTAAGAAAATTTGCAGGTGTCAAATTAGTATTCTTGGCACAGAGTAGAAATCCTCCCATTAGCTAGAGGTCCAACGACTTGTTTTTACATGAAAATGTGACCCTGATTTGAGTGGCATGATGTGCAGGGAGTGTGCTGAGGGCTGTCCTTCAAGACCTGGGTTGGGAGGTGAGACTGCTTTCCCACCACCCAGGCGGTGCCCTTTGTGGGCTGCCTCGTGAACCTGGCAGCTGCCATGTGACCTTGGTAAGCTCTCTCCGTGAGTGTGGCTGTGTTCCTGGCTGTGAGCACTGAGGGGAGGGGGGTGTCTCCATGTTCCTAATGGTGCTGCTGGCCTGGGAGAAACCTCATGGTGATCCCCTACTCCCAGGCACAATCGCCTCCCAACCCACATTTAAAATTTTCAGGATGATCTTGGTTCTGGAAGAAACCTAGATGGACAGCTGGCTGCCAGAGCTGGGTTTGAATCCCAGCTCTAATCCTTCACAGCAGGGACTTGGGCATAGAATCCAGCCTATGTGAACCAGCAAAATGGGACTGCTGGTATCTATACTTACCTCATAGCTTATTGTTGGAGAGACAAAGCATAAGTGCCAGCACAGACCCTGGCCTTTAGTAACACCCCCGTGAAAGTGGCTGCTGTGTCTTTGGTTGCAAATTAATGTAGGAAAAATTGATCTTTTTACTGTGTTGAACTCTCCCATCCAGGGTAGGGCTCGTCCCCACTTATAGGAGTCAGCTGGCTATCCCTCAGGAATGCTTTAGAGTCTTTATTTGTAGGTCTTAGTTTATTATTAAGTTAGGTTATTTTGTGATTTTGTTGTGGTTTTGAATGGCATCCCTTTCCCAGTACTATTTGTTCCCCAGGTGGCAGTGTGGTTTGGTGGTTCAGAACACAGGCTTTGGTGTTAGATAATCCAGGAGTCGAGTCCTGGCTGTGCCGCTTAAGTGTGTCCCCATGTCTGCTCTAAGTCCTTCCTGCCTCAGTTGCAGCAGCAGAAGCTGGGACAGAAGCTGGGACAGAACTGGCCTCCATCCTCTCTGTTTTCTTGCCTGTCTTTAGAGGCCTTAAGGGCCACACAGACCCCCTGCAGATGGTCAGCGTAGGCAGGGGCGTCAGAGGGACTCCTGTTCAGTCTCCCAGTCACAGAAAAACCAAGCGGAGAACAAAGATGGTAGTAGGACCAGAGCCCCGTCTGTACTTTTCTCCCTTTCTCATCCAGCCTCCCGGTACCCCAGAGTCAGAGCTGCCAACTCTGACTTGGGCCCCTGGCCCAGAGCAGGGAGCCAGGCTGCACTCAGCACCAGCCTTACCCATCAGCACCTCCTTGTCCACTGGGCTGCTATTCAGCCTTGCCTCCCTTATTCTGCAGGGTGGAAGGTCTCCCAGCCAGCTGCCTGGGTCCGGGGAGAGGAGGAGATGTGGCATCACCTGCAAAGACCTGCATGGGGGCTGCTCTCTGCCACATCCTCTCACTCAGAGTAGAAGAACCTTTAGATTCATTGAGATCCGAAAGGGATCATCAGTACAAATTGTTTACTCTGGTGGGGTCTTCAGAGCCGTCCT